CTCAGATCCACAGAGAAGTGGCATTCAATAAAACCTCCAAAGCCCTCTCCAAATGGGATCCTATCGTTCTCAAGAACCGCACAGCAAAGCAGCTGGTTTTTCCCTTGGAGAAGGAGCAGGCCACCTTTGCACCTCTTGAGCATGTGCTCGGTGGCTGGAAGGTGAGTACAAGAGTGGTGAGTAGATTGCACCTGGTGGTCCCCAGTCCTGCGCTGGGTGAAGCTAAACCCAAGCTTCAGAAAGTGGGGTGGCCCATCATCAGTGCCAGGGAGTCAATGAACAGTCAAGAGTGGCTGCGTGGGCACCCTTCATTAGACTGTTGTGGGCATGTAACGTACAAACTTAATTCTGTGTTTTTATAGTAAAACATTAACTTCTCAGGATAGGGGATCCGCTTGCCTTTTTATATCCCAATTTTTAAATGCCATTTAGAGCTACATGGTAATCCTAGGAAAATGTGGACCTCCATAGCATTAGTGATGCCTTACCTACTAAAAAGAACCCTGGCGACATAGTGGTTCCACATTGGGCTGATAATTACAAGGTCTGCGGTTCTAAACCACCCCCTGTACTTTCATTGGTTCCTACTCATAACCACCCTCTACAGGGTTTCTGAGGCTGTGAACAGATGGCCTCATCTTAGTAGGGATTTATGAGCAGTAAGACCCCAAGTTTTACTTGTAAAGGACTCCCACTTTGAAACATAAGGTCTTGGGGAGAATTATTAGAATCTTAGTAAATAAAACCCCCAAAGGAAATAAAAACAAAACCTGTTGCCATCGGATCCATTCCAACATGCATGTCGTGACACATGTGGTGACACAGGACAGAGGAAAACTGGCCCTGTAGACTTTAAATTCTTATGGGCGAAGGCTGCTACATCTTCTGGGGAGTGTCTGCAGACTTCGAACCACCAACCTGTCAGCTGCTAAGCACTATCCAGGCTCTTCGTGACGCTTCTAAGCTACCAGTAAGCAGATAAAGCTCATTCAGAGCTTTTCTCTGATGAGTGTGTTGGGTGGGTGCAAAGTGCCCCACTGTTCTTTATGATGAGGTTATTCTTTGTACACTACTGGTGTTGGGCTATCTCTTCTCACAGGGAGTTCCAATCCAAAACACGGAACTCACTGCCATGGAATCAATTCCAACTCATAGTGACCTTAGAGTCGAGGGTAGAACTGCCTCTGAGTTTCCCAGACTGCAACTCATTAAGTGAGGAGAAAGCCGTTTTTCTCCAACGGAGTGGCAAGTAGTTTCAAACTGCTGACCTTGCAGTTAGCAACCCAGTATATAACCACTATTATCACCAGCACTCCTCTTAGGGAGCTAGGGTAGGGGAAAGTAGTA